TTAAGAACTCCTGTGTGTTTACATTAATAATTAACAAGGACAATTATCTTTATCTTTTCAAGTGAAGTGCTGCACTCGTAAATTAATGATGTGGCAGTAGTTATTAATTACATAGATATTTGTAAAGGAAGGCAAGTTAATACATTCCTTTTACTACCAAGACCAGCCTTATTTGTGAATTTTAACCTAAGCAGTCCTGTGGAGTTCTTGTAAAGGGTTTGGCAATGGCTTGCTAATGGTCAAAATGGCTTAACCATGTTTAAATGAGAACCTTTTGAATTAGCTATTGTCAGTATCAGAGTAGCAGCCCTGATAGTCTGTATCTTAGATTGTCTCTAAGGTGCCACAAGTACTCCTGTTCTATTGTCAGTCGTTATCTGCATGAAAAAATCTTTGATAGGTTAATACATGTGTTTTATTGGAAAACAAACAAAAAACACCCAGCAGTACAAATATGAGCCCTCTGTCTTTTGGTAAACATGAAAATTTAAAAATGAAGCATCTAACCTTTTAAAATTACAGCTTGAAGTGTCAATAATGAATCCATTAATTTCTGGAAATAGCTATTTAAATATTCTGTTTTAGCTCCCATCAGCATTCACTTTTACTTTGCTGTGTCCAATCCTAAATCAAAGACTGTGTTAGTTCTACTGTTTCTAGCCAATCTGCCTTGCTTTGACTCGTAACCTCAGGCTTATAGAAAAGGCTTGTATCATATGGCCCATTCACCTATACTGTGTCCTTGTGGCCCACTGAAAAGCATTATAATCTGCTTCATGTCACATTCATTTAAAAGTCTTTGGGTGAAAATCTGACTCCACAAATATCCCCGTGAATTCTGCGGGCCCAGGATTTCACCTTTTGGGCCTGGGTCTGCCCTCCGTTAGAGTGGAGTAAAACATGAGTAACTCCTTTCAAGTCAGCAGTTTATCCAGGTATAAAATTAGGGTTAGTGAAATCAGAATCAGGATCTTCCTAGTAAAGGAAAAATACTACATTGTATGTATAGCCCAAACCAGACACTTGTGCCATATGCCACATTGGCAGCTAATTCAGGGAGAAAAAAAATATTGGTAATACCTTATTCACTGAAGTAGTTTTAAAAAACTTTGTGGTATCAATTTCGTATTGATTTGGGGTAAATAATTGAATGTTAAGCTCCATTGTTCATTAAAACAACACTATCAGATAGAGAGTTTATATTGAATGATACAAACACTAATGACTTTCAGAACCTTTGGAATTATTGAAATTTTCAAATTAGCATATAAGGGAACAACCAGTAAAAAGCAAGGCTAATACATGGCGTAAGGTACTTTGTTCATTTGGTGTGTTAACAATAATTTAGTTTTAATTATGTGTGAAAATATTGCATAATACTTAAGAACCTGTTCTGTAGCATGTTATTAAAATGTTGTTGTTTATGAAAATAGGATTGCTACCTACAGGATTTGCTATTACATTTTTGCGCAGAAGCAGGGTGAAATCATGAAATATATTGTGAGCAGATTTCAGAGTTTGTAATTTAATGAAGTGCAAATCAGAAAGGTTCTCTGGTACAGGAATTGACATATTGGAATATGTGAAATGTAAGGGTTGAATCCTGGCTCACGTATATACATAGAGCTTCCAAGGAAGTCAGTGAGTGTTTCATGCTCAGAGCTTGGAATCTGAGTCAGATTCTGCCTGGTCCTTGTGTGGTAGCTCAGTATAAGGGTGTAAAGATAGAGTGACCATACGTCCATTTTAGCTGGGACAGTCCCCTTTTTAAGCCCTGTCTCAGACGTCCTGACTTTTTTTGGCAAAAATGGGCATTTGTCCCATTTGCCAAAAATGTGAGGTGCATGGAGGAATGTTCCGGGAGGAGGGGGGGGGGCAAGTGGTGACGAGAGGCACTAGGCAGTGGGGCTCAGGCTGTCAGTCTCAGGAGGTGTGGGGCTTGGGCAGTCAGCCCCAGCCCCAGGCAGAGTGGAGTGATCGGTGAGGACAGGTGGCTCAGGCCAGCCTCGTAGGGGGTGGGTGCGCTCGGCCAGCCCCACCCAGTGTCCTGTTTTTACTTTGGGAAATGTGATCACCTTATGTAAAGACTAGACAGAATTGCATGAGAACCAGTCAGGGTTGCACCCCCTGTGCTCTAGGGAGCACAAGTATTTCTCCCTTCCTACTCGCCTGAGTGTGGCCAGGGCCCCGAGAACATAGGTCCAGAGGTCCATCCCCTTGCATACAGCAAGCAGAGCTGGCTATCTGCATTGGGGAGGTAAGCTGCCCAGTACAAAAGGATGCTAGAGGCATGCACTGCTGCACATTCTGGAGCTCCAGAAGCTGTCTTTTGCCCCCTGGTGTTCTAGCTGCACCAGTGCAGCTTCACACTGCCCCTAACGATGAGCTACTTACCCCAGTGCCACGTTCTAGCCCTTAATGAGTAAAACCTGGTAAACTTGCCACATTATTAAAAGATATGCAAGTAAAATGGCCTTTCAAGTCTAATGTAATTGAGACAGCCTGAATACTGCAAATGCCAATTAAAGAGAGATCATTTAGAATAATAGTACTTAAACTATCATTTGACTAAATTACATAGCTATGTAAAAAGGTAGGGAGAGAAAATCAAGCAGAGCAAGGCCAGAATTTAACCAAGGGTGGAACCAATTTTGTTTCAAAATATCAGAGGTAGAGAAAAATTGATATGCTGTTCTTCTGTTTGAAGCCTATGGAACAGAAATTGCTGAGAGGCATCTATTCAGTTTCTACTGTCCTTTGGTCTCCTAAAATATGGGTGTTTTGTTGGAAGGATAGGATACACAGCACAGTTAAATGAAGGGTCATATACTGACTCAACTATAATGGTCAGTAAAATAATAAGAGAAAAAGAAGAGGGACAAATATATGGTTGTCAGCTCGAGGACACTGTAGCAAGAAGCCTGGGCGTGGAGCATGAAATACCTATGAAAAGTCATTCACTACAGGTTTCCTATAAAATTGAATCTGTTTTGGTGGACAGCCTAAATAATTTATGTTAATTAAAAGAGCCACATTCATATCTACTTTCTGAGCAGTTTTGCACAGGATCTGTAACAGATTACAGTTTATTATTTAATATTTGTAACTAGTATGATTGTCTTGGGTGGTGCATTGCATAGTTAGTGAAAGTATGGTGCCTATCTCAAAACACACACAATCTAAGTGGATCACCAGAAGAGAGAACTTTGGGGGAGATAACAGACAAGGGGACTAGAGAGAGGGATAGGCAAACAAGGTTGTCACAGTACACGGTCATGTTTGTTCCTAAGGGCTTATTTTTTATATAATAACATTTGTAAATTATTTTTATTGTTTAAAGAGAATTAATTAGATGGTAGTTGGAGCAGTTGTAGGGAAAGTTGTATTTTGAGGAGGGATATGAAGAGTGGGAGGGAGTTTGTGTGCCATGCAGGATCAGAGAGGACTTTCCAGATGTAGGTGTCAGCTTGGGAGAAGGGAAGAAGGGGCATGGCGAGTGATGCAGAAGTGGTGGAATACAGGGACTGAACAGGTGAATGGTGGGAGACCAGGAATCAGATGTAGGCAGGGCAGAGCCTTGGAAGCAAGGGCAAGGAGCTTGAAAGTGACCCAGAAGGAGATGGGCTTTTAAGGGAAGTTGAAGGCCATAGTGATGAACGAGCCTAACCAACCCTGTAGCAGTTGTTAGAACAAAAGCTTCTGAAGCTGTGATGATTTATTGTGGCAAGTCTAGCTTGTTAACTCCTCCAGTGATATAAAGCAAGTTGGAGCAGCCTCCCTGGGAGAGAGAAATATGGAGCTGGGATATGGGGGCTCATGTAGGGCCACTCTAGAGATGGCCAGCTAATGGGAGGAATTTTTTTGTTGTGCTATTCTTTTTGAATTGCCAGTAAAGCCAATTAGATTGGCATTTGTGAGGGTCAGGATGACATCCTGTGTATTTATACAGCGCTTAGCACAATGGGGACCTGAGCTTGATTTAGAACAGTGGGTTCGACCATAATACAAAACAGCAACAATAATAATAAAAACTATGAAAGGGGTGAGTTTGGATACAGACTCAGGGTGTGTATGATCTGTTGAGAACAGGATGGGGACTCAGCCTTTTCATTGCAAGGAAGATGAGTTTGGCAGTCACATTTTAGATAGACTGGAGGGAAGTTAGGTGGCTAGAGAGAAGGATGTTACAGTAGTCTGTGCTGGAGATAATTGAGGGATGGACCAAAGGGTTTGGCACTAAGCATGGAATAAATGGGAAAGATTTTGAATAGGCTACAAAGGAAGAAAGAACAGGATTTAGCCACAGCTTAAATATGATCAGTAAAGGAGAGAGGAGTCAAGGATGGTACTTGACTTATTTATAATATTAACATTCATGCCATCCTAATTGCAGAATACTACAGAAATATACTCCTGAAATATCTTGTATTGTCTGAATAGTTCTTTGTTGGAAAGGGGGAAATTTTTTAATATTCTGCATGATTTGGCATACCTTGCTGACTGAATATGCCAGAAGAAAACCTTCAATGGCAATTAATATCTAGGATACTATTATGAGTGAATTTCTGGCTTTTCATATTATAACGTATAGATAATCATTGGACTTGAAAATTGAAAGAGAACATTGATGTTTCGTGTGGAACCCTACAATTACATGAATTTGATAATAAGTGCCTTTAGTCCCTTTTCTTATGAAGATCAATGCGTTTGCGGGGGTATTGGGGAAGGGAATCCTTTTTGCAAGGTTTCTTGTTGGCGATGTATAAACAAAAGAAAAGAGATTTTCCTGTTCGGCTTCTGTGTTTGAGGCTGGGGATCAAAATTCACTGTATTGAACTCTGTTATAACTCCTGTTAGAGATCGTTCAGTATAAATACCTATTACACAAGGATGCTTATTGGTACCATGAAAATGTCGTAAACTTTATCAGCCTAATACCCAAAAAAGTGCAAGCTCTCTGTCACAAGAATTAATTGAAGCAGAAGTAAAAAAAAACTTACCAGTTTAAACTAATACACATGCCTTTACCCAGTCTTCACTTGTGTTCATTCAAAATTGACTTGCTCTTGGTAGGTGCAGACACCTGCAAAAAAATATAAAAGTTGCATACACCCTAAAATGTGCATATACAAAAGAATTAACATTTGCTCCCACAAAACCCATTGGCTCCCAACTATTTTGCCATTGTGAATGCTGATGCTTGTGTATGCTGGTGTGTGTTAGGCTGTTAAAGGGCTCGTGCGGGAGTGATAAATGATGAAGAGGATAGGTCACTAATTCAGAGCAATCTGAATTACTTGGTAAACTGCACACAAGCAAACAATATGCACTTTAATATGGCTAAATGTAAATGTATACATCTAGGAACAAAGAATATAGGCTCTACTTACTGGATGAGGGATTTTATCCTGGGAAGCAGTGACTCTGAAAAAGAATTGGGGGGTCGTGGTCGGATAATCAGTGGAGTGTGAGTTCGCAGTGTGATGCTGTGGCCAAAAGAGCTAATATAATCCTGGGATGTATAAACAGGAGTATCTCAAATTGGTGTAGAGGGGTTTTTTACCTCTATATTTGGCACTAGAAATATACTGTGTCCAGTTCTGGCACCCGCAATTCAAGAAAGATGTTGATAAATTGGAGAGGGTTCAGAGGACAGCCCTGAGAATGATTAAAGGATTAGAAAATATGCCTTATAGTGAGAGACTCAAAGAGCTCAATCTGTTTAGCTTCACACAAAAAAAAGTTAAAGGGTGACTTGATTACAGGCTGTAAGTGCCTACATGGGGGAACAAATATTTAATAATGGGCTTTTCAATCGAGCAGCAAAAGGTATAACGTTATCCAATGGCTGGAAGTTGAAACTAGACAAAATCAGACAGGAAATAAGGCATAAATTTTTAATTATGAGAGTAATAAACCTTTGGAACAATTTTCCCAGGGTTGCAGTAAGTCTCTATCAGTGACAATTTTTAAATTAAGTTAGGGTTTTTTTTTTTAAGTATGCTCTAGGAATTATTTTGGGGGAATTCCATGGACTGTGTTATACAGGACGTCAGACTAAATGGTCACCATGGTCCCTTTTGTTCTTGGAATCTGAGAATTCGCATATGAACAGGTGTTTGTTCTTCTAAAATGCAGATGCAAGTGAAGACCAAGACAATAAATCTGGACCACAGCATCAGTTCCGAATTTCTGGGTGACCATGTTAAGTAGCAGAAGATATAATTAATCTAAAGTAAATATACACAATATAAAATGCAGATGTGTAAACTAAGCATTAAGTATACTCAAGCATCTGTTTCAACATAATGTTCTTCTCAACAAACGGGGTTTTTATTTAAGAGGAATGCAATGTACCCTGAGCATTGGACTCTAATCAGCCAATTAAGGTACCCAACAATTACAAGACTGGGGTGAAAACTAATAAAAGGATAACATAACTATATTGATTTTAAAGCAATTCATATATTACTCCCACAGGACAACTCTGGTTTTTACTTCTGCAGTATATTCACTGCTCTTGTTGTTGCTTTTTGCTCAGTGTGGAAGCAAAGCGTATTTAGCAGTAAGGTTTTAGTGGGTGGACTTGTCTTGAGGACAGCATCTGCCTTTCCTGTGTATGCTTCTCAACATAGTTTATATGTAGCTTTTTTGTTATTCCAGGAGCCTCTGAAGCATATAATATTTAGTTCCCATGAGTCTGAACTATCTGCCTCAGCTCATGTTTTAGCAAGTTGTTTTGTCCTGCAGCTGGGTCAGGATTTATCTGTCTTTGACAGAATGGACAAACTGTCCACAGGTCTTACATGCTACTGCTTGTATATTTAAGTAACTCAGCTGTCACTCAGAAATGTATTGATGAGCAAGCTTAAGCATCCCACAAGGGTCTAAATAATATCCTTTATAATAATAATGTCTTGTTCTATAATTACACCATTATTTGATACAATTATTCTCTGACTCAGGGGCTAGGGAGTAACCCCTTGCTAAAGAAGGTGTGCGGGGTAGAGCATAGTGTGGTTTTTACTCAAAATGCTTAATGCACAGGACTGTATGTTTTTACAGTTGATATTAGGAGTGTTCATTCTTCTTTAGTTATCATTTTTCAAATCCCTCATTCCTATTTACTACCTACAAAGAGGTAATTGTTTCCCCAGTATTTTAAGTGTGGAGGGGTCTCCTCTGCATGGAACTGCCTTATCTTACATTGGGGGAGCAGTTCAGATACTTCAGTAGGACCATCCCCACTTGCACCAGCCCTATTTTGAGGTTGGAGATCCAAAGATGCTATCACAGACTGTCAGAAAAAGCTGGCAGAAAGCAGATGCAATCTGATCCTGTATTAACTGTTCTGTGATCCCCTTCATGCCAGGAAGCATGTGTGTGGGTCCCGAAGGCAGGAGTGACTAAAGGAAGTCCTGGTTACATATCTCCAATGGAGCCATGCTGTCACAGAGTCTCAGGGAGGGCAGAGGACCCTACAGTGGTTCTCAAACTTTTGTATTGGTGACCCCTTTCACACAGTAAGCCTCTGAGTGTGACCCTGCCTTATAAATTAAAAACATTTTTTTTATATTTAATGCTAATATAAATACTGGAGGTGAAGCGGGGTTTGGGGTGGAGGCTGACGGTTTGCAACACCCCATGTAATAACCTTGCAACCCCTGAGGGGTCACGACACCCAGTTTGAGAACCCCTGCAATCTGCGTAAAGGAACAGAACCTCTGTACAGATTGTCCTGAACTTCTGTGAAATCCTTGGAATCTGTAGGCTCCTTGAGGAAAAGTCACAGTCCATTCAGCAGCATTCAGGTTGAGTAGACTCTGTTTCTATCATCTGAAGCTTTTTCCCATAGGAGAGGGTGATATGTTGCAAGACTCTTTTTTTTTTCTTTTTTCTTTCTTTGGGATAAGTGCCAATTTTGTGGATCACTTGAAAACCTAGCAGATTGGCTCTAGAAACTAATATTAGCTTTACGTTTTAGCCAGCACTCTTTTGAGTGGTTTCCAGGCATTTTTAAGGTAGACATAATTTCTCAGAGATGTGCTTAAAAGGATGGAAAAAACTCGGAGTCAAGCTTTATTAGCTCTTGAAGCCAAAACTTGACAGTTGGAGACCTCTTTGAAAGAGAAGTTTTAGAACTTTTTTTAAGTCATGGAAACTGTAAACATTAATGTTTTAAACAAAAAAGTAAGTGCCTCATTAAAATGTGCATATCATGCTGTATGCTGTTTATGCCCTGAAATGAGAAGACTTCACACTTGCTTAATAAAAAATAGCAATTTCTTAATTTCACCCCTGCAGTTCTGGACTGGGAAAATGATTTATTCTGTAGATACTAAGTTTTTACTGTTATCAGAAGTTCGATGCTAGTCAGCATCTTGATAACGTCCAACAGTGTGATTTATTTTTAACAGAATACGAAGATCCCAATTGTGCCTCAGGTCCTATGCTGAATGAGCTGTTGGCCAGTCAAGAGATTTTTTTTTTGTCATAACAAATACATCTCAGGCAGAGCCTATTGGCCATACAGGATTTTCTCACATTTGTAGACATATGGCTCCTTTGCAGATAGACAGACAGATAGCATCAAAAGAACTCTGTGCAGCTCAAAAGCTTGTCTCTTTTGCCAACAGAAGTCGGTTCAGTAAAAGATATTATCACCCAAGAACAGCAATCTTTTTTTGCATGATGGACACTATATAAAACAAACCTTGAATGGGAATTAGTGGCTAAAACCTTGTAGTTAATTAGGAAAAGTTCTGCTTGCCTTTGTTTTTAGTGATCAAATCATTGATCTGATCCCATGTGTGAACTTTCTTCATGGGCATTCAGATATTAATGGTCATAATTATTGAGCATTGTGCACCAGATTTAAGACTTTATACACTCTTGATGCTGAGAGGATTTTAGCAGAATTAAAGAAGGTTGCTGTTTAAGGTTTTAGTTGGATCTGGCTTCAGATTAACTTTTTCCAAATGAATGCAGGTTTCATGCAGTAGATGCAACTTTTATCATATTTCCCTTAAGGTTATATATGACTTTAACTAAAAAAGCTGTAGTCCTCAGTTTTCATGGGTCACAAAACAAGTACCCATTCCCCCTTATATTTTGCTCTGGCCGTTAATAAGATCTTGATAAATTTACTTTGCCATTCAATGTAGGTAATAGAGGATGGAGTACTGCATGGGTCCATACATTTTCCTGTTGTCTAGGAAATGGCACATACTGTAATCAGTAATGTGATAAATTACTTTGTCGTTATTATTGTGCTTCATTAACTTTTTTCAGGACAGAAAAACATTTCTGTCCTGAAAAAATATATCTTTATCTCTTGTGAGTGTTCCCCATTATTCAGACTTCTACATCATTCTGGATAAATGCAAGATTTACATTTAGATTCCAGTAAATACTTCTAAGAACAGGTATCAAAGGTAAACAAAATATCTCCGAATATACAGCAGCTGCCAAGAGCACTTCAAAAATATAGAAGAGACAGCTCTTTATTTTTAAATTTCAATTTTCCAGGTGTTTTTATGCTCGAATGTCAACAACTTCTTTAATAGCTATTTCACATTATTTTTCATTTGATGTGTCTATTTCTGCTACCGCTTTATGTCTTGACTGGAAGAGTCAGGAAGACTAGAGGATTTCTCATTAATGACATGTGGTGACACTTTACTTTATTGTTCACTGATGACTTTCTGACAGAGATAGATGACATGCTTGGAGTTTCCAAGAAAATGTGATTCCATCATTGAATGGGGGAGCTTTGAAACAATTTTTGTGATTTACAAACAGGTTATGGATGTGCCAAATCTGGCAAACAGTGACATTTACTGTAAAATGTGGAGCACCAGCAGTGGAGTCACTTGATTGTTGTTATGCTGAAATCTGTTTTCTCAATGTTACAGTTGAGCATATATTTTACAGCCCCAAAAATATTAGTTCATATTGTATTAGTTTTATTAACAATACAGAATTAGGGAACGCTCCCTCTTTGTCTGTTTGATAGATTGACACAATATTAAATACAAAAAGTTAGTAAACATTTTGGTTAGTTTCACCTACAGCATTTCAAGCTTTTAAAGAAAGTGGGGAATAATTTTATTGCATTGGGTTATGTGGACCTAGCATGACTGTATAAATGAAAAGATACAATAATGAAAATGTAGAGGAAGAGCCAGGTGGAATATCATAACTGATTCACAGAGCTTCTAGGCAAAAATCTAGGAAATTTAAATTGTGAATAACATTTGTAAAACAGAGTCAAGTAGAAATAAAAATAACATTCTTCCTGTTCTCACCTCTTTCCTGTTCCCATGGCATAGAAGGAACTTCCTTCATACTGGGCCAAAGTACTCAGCAACAACTGTCATTGGTGTGTGCTCTGGAAAACATGTTTCCTCAGATCATAATATTCTTGTCACAAGCATAGACCCTCAGGACAATGAGCTCTCTGTTTCCTGTGGAACTTTAAATCCAGTTCAGGAATCCCAAATATAGTCCTGTGGCTGCCACTTAACCATTGGATTGCTGCTGGATATTTCAAGTATGTCTAGTAGGGCAGAAGACACCCACAGTGCTGCAGAATGTACCACAGATATCCTTACATTACAACATCACAAAGAATTGAGCTTTAGGAAAATGGATCAAAAAATCTCATCCAAAACCAAGAATACTAATGTTACACAATTTACCAAAAAACAAACAAACAAAAAAAACAACAAAAAGAGGGGGAAAAATTTTCCTTTAAATCCAGACTTTAGCTTACAGGAGACTGTCAGCTAGTGTTCTGAGTTTTCATAGATTCATAGACTGTAAGAGCAGAAGGGACCATTCTGATCATCTAGTTTGTCTTCCTACATAACACAAGCCATAGGATTTCACCCAGTAATTCCTTCATCAAGTCCATATTTTGTGCTTGAGTGTGGGCACATTTTTTTAGAAAAACATCTAGTGTTTTAAGATTCTTACTGAGCCTGTAAAATGGTCATTTTTCTTCTGTTTATTTTATCATTTTTACTACTGTCCGTTTACTTTTCTAAATCAAATTGCTTTTAAAAGCTCGGTCTAATCCGAGCTCTGTAACCCCTGTCCTGGAGGATGTATACATAGGCTTAATTTTGAGCACATGAATAATCCCCAATAGCTTCTATGAGACTATTCACATGCTTAAAGATAAGCACTGCATAAGTCCTAGCAGGATCAAGATGTAGCTATATATTCCAAAGATTGTACTATTGTAAATTGTCTCTCAGGAAGTCCTGGATGTCACTCCAGACTTCCTGCTCCTGCTGAGAGCCATAAATTGTATTTCCTAACTGCACAACTTCAGTGGTGGTAGTCGATGATCATCATTGTACCTGGCATTAAGGGGCCATAATGGCGGCAGTGGGGTTCAGAATCTCACCTAAGGAAACTAATCATAATCATTTCATCATAATGTTCTGTGTCAGCCCTGCAGGGGAACTAGAGATTAAAATCATATAATTTATTCTACAATAAACAAATTAGAGATTAAAATAATATAAATTATTCTACAATAAATAAACCATACATATAAAAACTGGAGATGTTCCTCTCCAAGTGCCTCTGACTCAACTGGTCGCCCCGCCTTCACACTGCATGCATTCAGTGGATCTGCAGCATACACAATTTGGAAAGTCAGCAACAGCAATCTTTCTGCAAACCTAGAGGATAAAACACAGTTATCACAGCAGCTAAAGCCCTTCTTCCTTGAGTTTCAATCTGTGGTGGACAACATACTGTGCTACTAGATTTCACCTGAAACTGTCTTTCGCTCCAGTTAACAAGGTTCCTCATCTTTTTGAGTTCTAGTTCTATAGCTGAGATGTTCGTAAGTGAATGTAAAAAAAGTATTTATTTTATATTTTTAACTTTGTATTTTTCAGTCCACCAACAACATATAACTAATTACATTTGATGACTGTATATATCCTGTTTTCATCAGATGCTGAAAAAATGCTGTCATTTGAAGTTGTGGAGTTTTAATATCTGTGTAAGTTTCTTTTACGGATGCTACTGAAATAGAATATACTATCACAATGAATAAAAACAGGAAGGTTTAGATTTTTTGATTAGTGATATGTCAGTAGTGGAATGTGCATGTTTGTCAGTTGCATACACAAACCAAAAGAATACTTGACTCTCTGTTTTTACAAATGTTCTTCACAATTTAATTTCCTATCTTTTTGCCTCGTTATGATATTCTACATATCTTTTCCTTTACATTTTCATTATTGTATATATTCATTTACACAGTCACGCTCGGTCAACAAGACCCAGTGCAATAAATCAAGACATGATGGCAATTACTTAGGGGTATTTACCTTTTTAGCTTGGATAGTGGACTTCAGCATAACAGTGGAGGGTCTAGGGGTCTGCCCATAACTCATTTCTTGGAAAAAGAAAAATTGATTACAGGGGTTGAACGAGAGACCTAACCAAAACTAGATACATCCAACCAAGGTGCTCTGTGAAAGACAGAATCTGAGCCATATTTTAGCAATAAAAAGGGAGCTATTAATTGTTGTTAAGCATCGTCTCTTACTCAGAGGGCTATCTTCTAGAAAGCAGAGAATGAAACTATCTTGCCAGCCCCCTAATGTAAAAGAAAATGTAAGAGAAATGTAAGAGAAAAGTGCTTTGAAAAGCAGGAATGGCTGCCCTAGGTTGAGGAGGTATGCTTGGGCATGCAAGCTGACCCACATGCATGGACTTGATAAATAGGGCCTGGAGACAGCTAAGAGGAATTGGCATTTGGACAGCAAGGAAGGCTGCCAATCTGACCAGGGGGGTCAGCGGGGGTATTGCTTTCACTTAAGTTGAGAATGCCGAATTTAGTTTCGTTTATGGAAAGGCATAGATACATTAGATACATTAAGCAACCTGTGTCTTTTGTTTCAATTTCATTCTTTCTATTTTTACTAATACTATTACTATTATTAGTATTACTAATACTATTTTTACTATTTTGTTCTATTAAGATTACGGCTGTCTTGGTAATTTCACACAGACATCCCCAAAGGGAAGAGAGCTCTCTGTAATCTCTGAAGAGAGGTGCTGAAGGATAAGGAGCTCGTGAAACTAAAAATCCCATTCAGCCTTGGTCAAGGGACATGGACAGGGATGTCCTATCCCAGTGAGTTGTGTTGTCATCGGGCTGCAGAAGGCAAATGCCCGAGGAAGAGATAAGAGTTGTAGGGAGTATAGGTTACAAGATATGGAAGATAACAATGGTACATAAAAGATCAGGACACTGCTAAATGTTGAGTGAGTTTTCTACACTTATAGTAAAACTGCATTAGGTCTAAATTATTGGGTCAGTTATGTATCCATAATTATAAACCAAAATAGTCAGGCTCTATCATGCATCCTCCCATGTAAAACCACAGGAATAGATTTGTGTGGGCTTCTATGTCCTGACACATATCTTGCTGAAGAGAGTAATTAATATTTAATTGAAAAATACTCTGGGTAACGTTTTCTGGTCCACCAAGGTTGCTTTGCTCTTCTCTGCGGATAGAAAACAACCATAAACCCCTTACCAAGCCAGTTTCTATTTTTACTGGAGGATTTCCCATAGATAGACAAAACTCTAGTGATGTAGGGCCAACATGGCATTTCCTAGGCCACTCCCACGTCTGAACCCTGGCATACAGTTGTGTGTCATGGGGAAAGGGGGTTGGCTGAGCATGTCTACACCATGGTGATTCCTGGATGCCAGAACAACCTCTTGGAGCCATAGGAGTCTAGGTAGAGCAGCCATCAGGCCAACCTACTTTATGCTGAGGACTGGTCTGTGGCTGGCTGGTCTCCAGTCGGGGACACAAATTAGTTTTAAATGTTCCTTTGCCTCTCCTGATTTTTGTGGCACCAAAAGTATTATGCTTTACTAAATTGTGGAGAGCAAACCAAGAGAGTCAATAATAGGGGGCCTGTTCTCTGCCTAATTACACCTGTTCAAAGTGTTAGAGGATGTATACCCACTTTGCATAGATGTAAATGACTGCCCAAGGTTCAAGACACAGGGAAACCGGCCCTTTGAAGTACTAAAGCTGAAACCTATGACTCCTCTTATCGTATCCTGCCATTGAAGGGTGTTCAAATCAATCCATAATGAAATAGCGCGATGAATACCACAAAGCCTTGGCACAAAGTTGAGGATAATGTGCCAACAAAGTTCAGTGAGTTTTATCATTGTCTTAATATTAATTAGGTGTGTAGTTGCAGCAGTTTCTGCATTCGGCCTATAGTTTCTTTGGTATAATATTAGATATACTCTTGGTGTTTTAGAAACCTATTTTGTCAATTCAGACATGCGATTTTGTTCTTAAGCTTTTCATTGATTCACAGACAGAAAGCACACAGTTCATTTACCACCAAAAAGAACAGAGTGGATGCATTTTCTTCCTTCAAATAATGACCATGAGTTGACTTAATGGGAAACAGTAACAACAAAAGTTTAAAAGTCCTGTAATTGTTGCCTAATGGTACCTCAGTGGCAGTTCCAATACACCAGTTAACGTATGATGTTTCACCGCAGGATGCCTGATCAAAACAGCTTTAAAAAACACCTTAATCTCTTATAATTTGATGTAGACAAAATGAGGACTGGAGAAATGAGGGGAAAAGCGATACAGGCATATTGAACTGACTAGCATGGGGAGATTGGGTTTATGGGGCAGGAGGAAAAGCACTGTTCAGAAATAAAACATGTTGAATTCAGAACATTGTATCTAATGCAATAGTTAAAGCAGCTATTCAAAAGAACACAAAGCTGAGAGAGGGAAAAATGAAAGAAGCTTTTTCATAGTGTTTGAAAATCTTCCCATTAACTGAACACAATGTGCAACAGCAAACATATGGATCAGTCTCATTAAGAAGAAAGAAAATTGTTTGAAATAAACCTCAAAGAGGAAGAAAAGAGGTTGCTTTTTGGGAAATGACTACACTCTTGTTGTCAAGACAAAAGAGTAATGGAGTTAAATTAGAGCAACTATCAGCTTGATAGGTTTAAGCAGAGATAGAGCTACAGTACAACAGCCAAACTCTCTCTGGTGTGAAAAAAGAAATTAGCAGGTCTGTTAAGTAACCTGGATTTCAATAATGATCTGTTATCCCTGTTTTTCAATGATAGGAAGCACTTTCCTTTTTTGGTGTACGAGGTAGGAATCAGAGAAAAGTTGGGGTGATGCTGGTTTTGCAGGTACAGTACGTAGTACAGAATTCTGAAAACAAGTTGTCCAAATAAGCTATAGTGTTCTTTTTATTCAAAACATGAATGCCCTCAAAAATTGTAAATACATTTGTTATCTATCCCCTTGTCCATCCTTTGGCACTGATTCATCAGGGTATTTAAGCACACGAGTAAGCAGTGGGACTACTTGCATGCTTATTGTTGGGCATATGGTTAAGTACCT